ATAGAGAAAACATAGATCCAAGGTATTTAGGGTTGCATGCACACCTTAGGAGTGTTAGAATGCTAAAAACCCAACAAATTACGGGGTTTTGCACCCTATTTAAACACCTTAACCCCAAGGTGTTGGCCTAATCTCCAGCCTCCACTGTCTAAAACCCTAATCTTGAAACCCTAAGCTATTTTTGGTGATTCTGAGCTAATCTTGTGCATTCTTGGTGATTGTGAAGAAGAGGAAGCTTGAAGGAGGAGCAAGAATGTGTGGAAGGAGAGTAGATCCAGAAGTTGGGCTTCATTTCTGATTCATATGAGGTATAAAGCTTCAACCTTGTCCATGACATGCTTAGATATAGTCTTAGGATGTTTTACTTCATGTTTTGGTCCAAGTATGTTGATGGTTGGGATTTAGACGTCCCATTTGGGCAAACCCTTCAGATATAGGGTCTTGAGGGGACTTCATGGCATAAAGTGCCAACTTTATGGCCATGGAAGTCCCATTCAACTTTTAGACCATCTTTTTGGTCTTTTAAGCCCTAGTAGGTCATGCATGCAAGTAAAGATGGGAACTTTACGTGACCAAATTGTCCCTAGAGTTCAGATCTATGACCCCATGGTCTATCTTGAAGTTTTGATGGCTTTTGGAGTTGGATCTAAGCCCTTTTGGGTTAGGGTTTGAGTTTTATGCGTTGGGAGAGGTCCCTAGCGGGTAAAGTTGGAAACTTTACCCTTCTAGACGTATTTCCATCTTGGATCCAGAAGATAGGGCCATGATTTGAGGAATAGAGACTTAATGCATTAAGAAGTGTTAACAGACTAAAGAACTCGACGAGTTAACGGAAGGACTCGACGAGTTGTATTGAGGAATCCCGATTCTGTTGAAAAGGAAGAACTCAACGAGTTGGATCGTGTTATCACGATTATGTGATTATGGAAACTCGATGAGTTGAAGAGTAACTCGGTGAGTTGAGTCAACTCGGAATGTTGACTTCGACTTTTACTAGGGTGTTGACTTTGACTTTGACTTTGACCAAAGTTGACCCTTAAGGGGTTATGAGTATGAAGGGTAATTAAGGAAATCTTTTATGTGTAGGGTTTTGATTTGGGTTGATATCCGGAGCCGAGGATTGTTCAGCTACTTCCAGTTTCGAGGTGAGTTACCTTCCTGGTAGCAGTGAGTCTAAGGCACCAAGGTCGGGCCACTAGTATGAGTTTGTAGTTAGATGATTGTCTTTGTGATAATTGTCTGGTATGACACTATCTGTTATGATTTATGTGCTAGTATGCTATGATATTATGTGGTAGTGGTAAGGGGTGAAATAGACCCCGTATCCGGTTGATAATACTGAAGGGGTAGGTCGGGCACCCAGATATGCCTGACAATATGTTTATGTATGATTATGTATCCTGTTATGTGGTAGCGGTAGGGGGAGAAATAGACCCCGTAACCAGTTGAAAGAGATCGAAGGGGTAGGCCAGCACCCAGATATGCTAGGCAGTTACCGGTTGAAAGAGACCGAAGGGGTAGGCCAGCACCCTGATATGCTAGGCAGTACCGGTTGAAAGAGACCGAAGGGGTAGGCAACACCCGAATATGCTAGGCAGTATGGTTATTGTATGGTATGAGGTATGATGGGGGAACTCACTAAGCTTCGTGCTTACGGTTTACAGTTTTGGTTTCAGGTACTTCTTCTTCGAAAGAAAAGGAGCCGACATGATCATAACGCATCACACTATGATTTTCCGCATATGAGATCTTTGGGAGTTGTACTATGATATTATTTTACTATGACATGTTTTGGCACTTGTGTTTGATTATGATACGGGATGATATTGTCAATGTTTTCAGACTACTATTTTTATACATTACCTAATTTAAAATGAAAATTTTGGTCATGAATTTTGGGATGTTACAAGTTGGTATCAGAGCCTTGGTTTGAGGGATTCGGACACACTTTCGGGGGTTACTTGAACCCATATCCGAAAGGTGTTACTTCATTGGTTATCCCAAAGATTCCTTTTTGGATACTTGTTTTACAAGCCTTATGAAAACAAAGTCTTTGTTGCTCGAATGACTGTCTTTTAAGAAAAGGAGTTGATATCTCAAGGAACTAGTAGGAGCCAAATTGATCTTGATGAGATTCAAGAGTCAACCAATGAAGAACCTGGACTTGACGCTAGCTCTCAACAAGAGGTAGAAAAACCTATTAAGGAATCTAACATCCTTCTACCGCCTCCCCGTAGATCTGATAAATAACATCGTCCACCCGAGTTTTATGGTTTCCATATTATTGACGAGGATGACAATCTGTTAGGAAATAATGAGCAGCACAACTATCAAAAAGCCATGGCGAGCCCAAAGGCTGCAAAACAGAAAGATGCTATAGAGAGAGAAATTCAGTCCATAAACGATAACCAAATATGAAATTTGGTTGATCCTAAGTCTGACCTTAAAACCGTTGGGTGTAAATGGGTATTCAAGAAGAAGCCTGTCAGGAATGAGAATGTACACACATTCAAAGCCCGACTCGTCGATGACATATTACTCACAGGAAACGACATTCCAACATTGCAACGTGTAAAAGTTTGGTCTGAGAAATGTTTCGTTATGAAGGGCATGAGAGATGTTGCGTACATACTTGATATTAAGATTTGTAAAGATAGATCTCAACGATTAATTGGACTAAGCCAAAGTACATACTTAGACAAGATCTTGAAGAATGACTTAATGACTTTTAGTGTGAATTATATTATGATATAAACCGATTTAAATAGATTCCAAATAGTGGGAGCATTGTAGTCTTCAAAGAATGACTTAGGTGCTGTTTGTTTTTTTTCTAAAAAACCTCTTCTAACCACTTATTGTTGCGCCGCGCAGCACACGCGCAACACTTGGCCCTTCGCAGCTGTTTGTTTTTCAGAAGACTTCTGACTTAAAAACTGCTACGCGTGTGCTGCGTGACGCAACACTTGACACTCTGTTTCAAACCTCTTCACACATTACTTTAACTTATTGCAACAGTCTACAGAGGTTAAAAAACAAACAAACTTTTTATTAAATGCTGCAGCCGTTTGGTCATCCTCTTCTGCTACAGAGGGTTGCAGAGGTAGTCCGCAGACTTCAGACATTTTCGCTTCGAAAAACAAATGACACCTTAATGACTTTTAGTGTGAATTATAGTATGATAATATGATATAAACCAATTTAAATAGATTCCAAATATGGAGGTATGTGAGAAATTTAATGATTTTGGGCGATATATGAGAAATCATTACTAGTTTGGTGGGTGTTTTTGTGATAATAAAGTAGGAAATAAGGATGATAAAACATGATTGGTATAAGTTTTAACAAAAGACTGAAATACATAATCCAACTTTGGAAACCAAACTCGACTCCGGAATATGATGTTATTGAGATTTGAGAAAGTGATTATTTTGCAAAACTACAAAAGAAAATTAGTTAGTTTTTATTAAAAATCTTGTTTGTAAAATTAGTTTAATCAATAACCGTAGATTGTACTATCCTTTCAACTAATAAAGATTTTTACCAAAACGCCCTCAACTTCGATGAATCTACTCAACCAAACTATTTTCAAATGCCAAAACTAGCCCTCAGGCTCAACGGATGATATTGTAGTCCAATAATATAATGCTATTGCTATCTGTTTCAGAATAAAAAACGCCAAAAACGTCATTTAACTCAACAGATGATATTCTAGTCTAATAATGTTTTTTGTAGCTTATTAATTGAAAGGACAAAAACACCCTCAACATATTCTCAAATTACCAAAACTAGCCCTGTCCCCTTTCTCCTTCCCTTGCTCGATCTGGTCTTTTTTCCATCTACGATTCTCACTGGATTAGGTTCACTTCTTTCTCCCTCCCTCATCTCTCTCACACTCAAACACAAACACACACACACACACAAACACATAAGCACAGTCTTCTGTATTTCGTATATTATATTTAATTTCTCTGTTTGTCTAACCAGAAATCAAGAATCAGTACGTCGCTTTGCTCATCAACAAATCCAGGTTTCCTTCACGACATCCCTCTCTCTTTCTCTCACACTCGTTAGTTCATTATTTTCGTTAATTTTGTGGTATTCATAGTACATGAATTATAACCATACGGCAATTTGATTATTTGATTAGGAACGAAAACCCACCAGTTTAATCAACCAAAAAAATTAGTTTTATTTGTATATTAATTGCAAATTCATGTGTTATTTCTTCGAAATTATAGCCAGCTTCACTTAGTTTCAATATATTTATAAAATTGTTAATTAATAGTACCTTGATCAATAGATTTGACGATAGATGTAGTTCGATAGTTTTTGGGGTTTACTTAGTGCTCTGTCTATGGCAAAGTATGCTTACAGCTCATGAACATGCCTTGAGTTTTGCTTAAGTTCAATATTATCATCGTTTCTGATGTTTTAGTCATCTTTTTGGTTGCAAAATTAATGATTCTTCCCCAGAAAATATGCATTCCTTTTCAGTTTTCATATGATAATGTATGGTAATTACTAATTATTGCTTACGTTTCTATTTCCTGCAGTTATTTTTTGTGCAGATGATACCTCCATTTGATGTTGAAAGATAATATAAACTACATAAAATGCTTACATACACTTATCCGATGAATCATGCTTATTTGTTTAGTGAATTGTTAATTATATATTCATACCTCAAGATGTATATGTATGTGTGTGTAGACTAGTTCTATGACAGTGACTTAAGGCCTTACTTTTTTTTTTTTCAGTTGAAAAAAAGTGCTGAATAGATATTTAATGTATGTTTGTAGGAAGTCCTGTATGAACAAAGACTTTTTCTTTTTTGGATCGAATAAACTGAATAAATATTATAAACTGAATTTGTAAATTTCAACTTTTTTTTTAAAAAAAAAAGAACTTTTTTAATTGTTGCAGGCAGGTTTCGGCCAATGCCGATGGAGCCAGAATCTGGCACCTTAAATTATCGAAATCGTTCTCAGGTTTCTTACAATTTTTATTTTTTTATTTTTGAGTTTCTACTAAATACATATTATGTGATTGTTGAGATAAATATGAAATTACATACATATCCCTAGCTTTAACCAACTCATTATCTGAAAAACTTATTACATGAATCTAATTCTTATTATTCAATTCGTAATAAGTAGCTAAAAAGTGCACATCCAAACACATGATTTCTACAAATCTATAACATTCAAAATTCTTTCTCTATATCATAGTAATCTTTGATTTCTTTTATGTTTTTCTTTTTAAAGCTCACAATTTGGTATATTGCAGTTTTTCTTGACTTTATCCCGGAATTTATTGTTGGCATATCAAAGCTTTGGGGTGGTATATGGAGATTTGGGCACTTCACCTCTTTATGTCTATAAAAGCATATTTATTGGCAATTTGATGGATTATCAAACCCCAGAAGTGATATTTGGGGCATTTTCCTTGATATTTTGGACCTTGACTCTAATCCCTTTGCTAAAATATGTTTTTATCATATTGAGTGCTGATGATAATGGTGAAGGTGAGTAAAATATAGTCCCACACTTTTAAATTTGCTTACTTATTTCATCTCTATTGCCCCGTTTGTTACATGGGACATGACTGGACAAGCTTTTTGACGAGGGCGTTTATGTCTTTTTCACAAACGGGAGATATCCAATGCATGCCAGACGCTCTACAAGGCGTCCTCCACAAGGGCTATTTTCCATGACGAGGGCATTTATGTCTTTTTCACAAATGAGAGATCCAGAGTGAGTCTGTGTCCCACTTTTTTTAGGTGGAACCAAAGATTAACTTTTTTGTCCCATTGACATCAGTCCTAGTCAACAAGTCTTTATTAAATTTTTTGCACAAATGATCAGGATGAGGAGGGCATTTATGTCTTTTGCGCAAATGAGAGATCAAGAGTGAGTTTGTGTCCCACTTTTTTGGGTGGAACCAAAGGTTAAATTTTTTGTCCCATTGACATCAGTCCAAGTCAACAAGTCTTTATTAAATTTTTTGCACAAATGATCAAAATGAGGAGGGCATTTACGTCTTTTGTGCAAATGAGAGATCGAGAGTGAGTCTGCGTCCCACTTTTTTGGGTGGAACCAAAGACTAAATTTTTTTTCCCACTGACATTAGTCCAAGTCAACAAAGCTTTGTGGAAAAGCTTACTAGGGCTATTTTCGATGATTAGGATAAGAAGGGCATTTATGTCTTTTGGTAAACAAGAGATCGAGAGTGAGTTCTTCTGTTCGTGTCTCACCTTTTTCGGTGGAACAAAAAGTTAATTTTTTTTCTTGCATTGATATCACCAAACACAGTACAACCTGTTCTGTTCTGTTTTGTCCTGTATAACAAACAAAACGGGGCCTATGCTACTAAAAATATGATGTGGTGAATGCTGAATTTAAGCTTTTTTCATTCAGGTGGGACCATTGCTCTTTACTCATTACTCTGTAGGCATGCTAAGTTTAGTTTGCTTCCAAATCAACAAGCAGCTGATGAGGAGTTGACTTCTTACAAATATGGTCCTTCACAGCCTCCATCATCTTCACCATTGAAGAGGTTTTTGGAGAAACATAAAAAGTTACGAACATCTTTACTTGTTATTGTTCTTTTAGGAGCTTCCATGGTTATTGGTGATGGTGTCATTACTCCTGCTATTTCTGGTAAGTGCTATTTGTAAGTTTTCAACTTGTTACTTGCTGATGTGGCATTAGTTGAATGCTTATTTATCTAACAATGTTTCATTTTTTAACCTATGAAACAATATTTCACTTTTTTACCAGTTTATGCAACTGATATGGATTATGCAACCATTTTTCAATAGTTTAAGCATCACATCTTTTGGTTCTAAAACAAAATATCGTATTATATATTGAATAAAAAACCATTTTTTGTTGCAGAAATTTGGAAAAAGGTGGAATGTTGTTACATAAATGCACGTTTAATCCTATATTTTTTATAGAGAAGTTGATAAAACCTCTATATTTGACTCTTTAAACCCAAAATTGGCAAAACTCAGCGGTTTCTCAAATAAACACCCTTTTGCAGAATCTAGGGTCTAGCTCAATTAGCCAAAATATCTAAAAATAGTTTTCAATGATGATGAAGTAAAGATATCTTGTGGACTAAAAGTCCAATAAATATCGATTAACACTTCTACAAAAGGAAATGTTGCATCAATTTTATGACATCCAAAAAGGGATATTATTACATTTTCTTTTTTTGAAAAAGGGATTAATACATATGGTGTATATGGTGTTGCAGTTATGTCAGCAGTATCAGGGCTTCAAATTGAAGGTGTTGGACTAGAGCTAACTAATGGTAACTATGTTCTACAGATTAAATTTCCTTTCTTATTTTTCAGTAAAAAATTGTTCATTGTAATTCAAATACAAAAAATTCACACGATTTATGAAAAACAAGCTGTTACTTTTATCCTCACTGCTATTGTTATTGTTATTTGTTACTATTATTGTTGTCTTTATTGGTATTGTTTAGATGTAAATGGAAAATATTGGAATTTTGGGTGTTAATCTTTTTGGAAATTTGAATTTGTTTTTGTAGGGTCAGTTCTATTATTAGCATGTGTCCTATTGATTGGGTTGTTTGCTCTACAACACACGGGTACTCAACGAGTGGCAATTGTGTTTGCTCCAATTGTTATTATATGGTTGCTTTCAATATTTGGAATTGGATTATATAATATCATACATTGGAACCCTAAGATCATATATGCATTGTCTCCACATTATATAATCACATTCTTTAGACACACTGGTAAAGATGGCTGGTTGGCCCTTGGAGGTGTTCTTCTCTCCATAACAGGTATTTTAAACTAAATATTTTACTTCATTTTGCTTTCAAATTTCAGATTTTAGGCCAAATGAATTTGATTTCTTCTATTTTTTAATTCTGTCTGGATAGATATTGTTTGAAAAATAGGGTTAAATGCTCTTTTCATTTTCTATATATATATTTTTTGTAAACATGGTATGACTATAGGTGATTGCAATTTCATTACTATTATCTCCATGTTTTTCAGGTACTGAAGCTATGTTTGCAGATCTTGGCCATTTCACTGCCTTCTCAATGAGGGTAACATTGTACTTTCAAGTTTTTTCTTGTTAGAACATTATACTTTGAAAAATTCTACTCTATTATATTTATAGCAGTGAAATTACTCTTTATTTTAATGAATTTACTACTGTATATAATTATAGAAATGAAAGTAAGATTCTATAAGTATAACAAACAGCTATTTCTTGCATTTAACCCCAACCGAAGTACATTTATACAATTAGGTAACATTTTTCTTCAAAGTACAATGTTGTAATTAAAAATAGAAAAGAAATTTATGCTATCTTGTTTTGGTAATTCTAACACTTACTTATTTATGTAAATGCAGCTTGCATTTGCCATTGTTGTATACCCATGTTTAGTCATACAATACATGGGCCAGGCTGCTTATTTGTCTAAAAACGTTACTTCCATTCCTGACAGTTTCTATAAATCTGTACCTGGTTAGTCTCATTCAAATTACCAAATTGCCCCTGGGCTACGTTTGTTATTTAGCATCCTCTGTTGTGTTGTTGTCTTGCAGAAGCTTTGTTTTGGCCGATGTTTGTTATTGCTACCCTGGCATCTGTTGTAGGGAGTCAAGCTATCATTTCAGCTACTTTTTCGATTGTGAAACAATGCAATGCCCTTGGTTGTTTTCCCAGGGTTAAAATCGTCCATACATCAAAACATATGTTTGGTCAGATTTATATCCCGGAAATTAATTGGATCCTTATGGTTCTTACTCTTTTGGTCGCTGTGGGATTCCAGGACACTACTCTAGTTGGCCATGCTTATGGTAAGTAACATTTAGTATTTGTTAGGGCGGAATTGGAATTCCAGATTCCATTCCCGTCGGAATCTGTTGTATACCATATTTGATGGATTTCACCATCCCGAGTGGAGAGTGGAAGGATTCTAAGGAATCCAATTCCATTCTTCCTTTTTTTTTTATTTATTTATTAAAAGACTAAAGTACCCTTTTGGAGAAACATTCTGGCTTTGTTTCTCATCATCTGATTGAATCCAATGGAATTGTAATTCGAGATTCCATTCCATGGCGTGTTTGTTGCCAAATGGAAAAGTTTCAATCCAATTCCGTCGGAATCCTTCAAATTCCACATTTGATTGATTTCACCATCCTTAGAGGATTTCCGAATTCGATTCCGTTCTTTTTTACAAAATGACCAAATTACCCTTGTTACATAAATAAAGATTTGAATCCAATTATCTATATATCAACAATAAACAAAAAACAAACCTTGAGAGTATAACATAAAATTTTAGGAGTTATTTACTTTTGATCACTAAATTCATTTCATGATTCCTTCATATTCCAAATTTCCAATTCCTTATTTCTCTGATACTTCAGTTGTTTAATTTTCAGGCATTGCATGCATGACAGTTATGTTCATCACAACTTTTCTCATGGCACTCGTGATAATCTTTGTGTGGCAAAAAAACATTATATTTTCCACAACATTCCTTATATTCTTTTGGTTCATAGAAGCAATCTTCCTCTCATCTGCACTAACAAAAGTCCCTCAAGGAGGATGGGTCTCTCTCCTAATAGCCCTAGTCTTCATAATCATAATGTACATCTGGCATTATGGCACCCGTAAAAAGTACAACAATGACCTTCACAATAAAGTTTCCTTAAAATGGCTTCTTGGGCTGGGCCCCACTTTGGGAATTGTTCGTGTGCCTGGAATCGGCCTCATTTACTCTGAACTTGCCACGGGTGTCCCTTCCATTTTCTCTCATTTTGTCACGAATCTGCCCGCTTTTCACAATGTGTTGGTGTTTGTGTGTGTGAAACATGTTCCTGTGCCTTTTGTGCTGCCCGAAGAACGGTTTTTGATCGGGCGGATCTGCCCGAGACCTTATCGGATGTATAGGTGTATTGTGAGATACGGGTATAAAGATATTCAGAGAGATGATGGGAATTTTGAGAATCAGTTGATTCAAAGTATTGCAGAGTTTATACAAATGGAGGCTGTGGAACCACAGTTGTCCACCTCTGAGAACACCTCCTTTGATGGTCGAATGGCAGTTATTAGCACCAGGTTAGTTTTTTTTTTTTTTTTTTTTTTTTTTTTACAA